AGGGGTTTAGGGTCCAAAGCTTTCCATATTATGTACCTTTACAGAGGCTACTCACCTCATTTCCGCGTTTTTCGTTCAACCACACTGTGAGCTGCAGTCTAAACTCCTTAAGGGGGTCTTGTAGAACGAGCCCCGATTCAGAAACTAAAGCCCCTGATTCGGAAACTAGAAATTCTCCGCTTCGGAAACTGAATATCACCGATTCGGAAATTACCAAATTAAATTCCCCAATTCGGAAACCAAAAATCCTGCTGGGTGGGGGGTGAGGAGGGGGATGGGGGGCCGTAATCTCTTGCATTCCGAATCAGGAGGTCATAGTTTGCGAATCAGGTTTTTTAGTTTCCGAATCAGGGTTTCGAGTTTCTGAATCAGGTCTTTTGGTTTCTACATCAGGGTTTTAGTTTCCGAATCAGGGTTTTTAGTTTCCAAATCAGGTGGGGGCGGGGTGTGGGTGGGGGGTGGGGGGAGGCTTGGGTGGGCGGGTGGGCGGGGGGGTAAGCTCTGGCATTCTAAATCAGGGGTCATAGTCCATGAATCAGGGTTTTGAGTTTCTGGATGAGGTTTTTTGGTTTCCAATCAGGGTTTTGAATTTCCGAATCAGGGGGTTATGTAGGGGAGTATTTTCGGGGATAACCTTGAAAGGGGTTATGTAGGGGATAAAAGAGCTCTGCCTTTGTGTGTTTGTGTGCGGCCTGCTCACGAAGATTCTTCGATTGCCCCCTAAAGCCACCCAAGCTCCAGGGACCCTAGTTTCCAGAAACGTCAAATTAAAGAAACCCTAAGCCCTCCCAATACTTATGGGTTCAAGTAGTACCCCCCTCTATACTACCCATCAGATGAAAGAAGCCCTAGGCCTTCCTATACTTATGGGTTCAATTAGTACCCCCCTCTATACTACCCCCCCTAGGTTGCCCTTTAATTAACCCTAATTATCCCTAAATAACCTTAATTAAGTGGGGAACCTAGGGGGGGGTAGTACCCATGATATACCCAGGCTTGGAAATCAAAACGGGTGTATGGATTCCCCTACCATGCCCCCTATACTGCCCCAATAGCTTCCCCCTCATTGACTTTAATTAGCCTTCATCATCCCTAAATAGCCGTAGTTAAGGGGGACCTGGGGGGTAGTAGAGGGGGATAGTACTGGACCTAAACCCTAAGTGGCAGACCCCAAGCCCTAAACTGCATAGTAGGGGAAGAAGAACCTAGGTATACGAGACGCCTGGGCAGGACCTGGCCGAACTGCCTCCAGATGCTGGTCAACTAGATGATGGCTTTACGGTCTAGGGTTTAGGTTTATGGGGTTTAGGGTTTAGGTGGTTTACGGTTTAGGATGTGGGTTTTAGGGGCCTTTATACAAGTCTGTCTCCCCATTGCCACCAACTTGTTGTAGTTCTCATGGGGCAGTTTCCAAAAATCAGGTGGGGCTCCCATGGTAAGGATTACCATATATTGGGTCTACATCGACGTTCCCCGAAACCGCCATATATTCCTGGGTTGCTGTTAAGGAA